CGTGTTCCACTTCAGACGAGCAAACACACTCACAGCATATCAGTGTTTACTCCCACCCTCCAAACCTTGGTGTGACCGCCTCCTCTTTTCCAAATTATGTTCTTCCTCCCCCAACCCTGCTTTTGTTTTTATGTGTAGAAAGTGCTGAAGGACCACCAGATACAGGTCTGCAGGGGCTATGAAAGGTCTGAGTGCCCTGAAAGGTATGTCCCTGGCCTGGAGTAGATTTCCCAACCTGCTCCAAGAAGAAATGGCTGTCAAAAGTCTTTATGTCCCTGTGACATTCCAACATGCCTTGGCATAGCCAGGCACCGCCCACTGGTGCTGTGGCCTGGCACACAAGGGTTGTGTCTCATTGCAGGTCTACTTTAGTGAGTGTCACCTGAGTCTTGACTTTTCTTCCCAAAACAGTCTGTTTCAAGCTTGCCTTACCTTACGGACGTGACAGGAAAAGAGGATGTTCATGTATTTGTCCTTCCGTTTCAGTTCATTAGCAACAGGGACAAACGTGCCTGAGGTCTGAGGTGTATCCGGCTTCTGAAAGAAACCAGAAAACCATGACACGAGAATGCTTAGCACTGTAGATGCCACGGCCACCGTTTAGCACGTGACTCTGTAACTATTCCCATGTGGAGTTTCACAGGTGAACTTTTTATCTCTTCATCCCAGATGGTAGGCTAGTAAAGGTCCCATAAATTATTTAAATCAAAAATGTAGCTTTGGAATAAATTAACATAAAGGTGGTAATTAAAAATAGTGGCTGAATAACTCCAGGGAAGTTTTCGATTTTCAAAGCCGGGTTCTAGAGTGTACCTAATCCATATGGAACAAAACAGAGAGCCCTTTTAAAAGCAGGGATGACTTCAAACACTGTACATTAAGAAGCGATAAAATCCTTTAACTTGGCACCTGTCACAGAAATCATTAAGTTTCTGAAAGTGTTTTATTGTCTTTCGTATAAATTCTTGGAGAAAAATTCTTCTTCCTTTGTAAAGGGAGCAGGAGTCGAGTCCATGCTGATCTCCTCCTGGACTTACCGAAGCAAGATAGTTGCCCTCCCAGGCCCTCTGGAGCCCAAGGTCAGCCCTCTGACCCTTCAACATTTCCATGGCTGCGACCTTTGCCCTGACCTGGGGCAGGTCGGAAGCAGGTATGCTCTTGATGAGCTGGGCTGCTCTCCATCTACAGGGAAATAAACCAAGCAGAGAGACTTCAGAGACACAATCCCATTCATCCTCAAAAATAACTTCAGCTGCCACTAAGTAAATGAAACCAAAGCACTTGCGAACTAGACTAAAAAAGAGTGAAAATGTTCCCCAAATGTATACAGAAGTTTATAAAACACCCAGTTTTATGCAAAGATTTTCTAAATCTTCCTTTGTGGTTTGTGTGCTTGAAAAGCAACCAGACATGTGACACGTGAGCCCCAGTAATACAAGTCGAGCATCCCTAATCCCCAAATCAGACATCTGAAATGCTCTGGAACCCAGAACTTCTGAGTACCACTCAATCAGTAAAGTCGGTGCCAATACTTCTAAGTCTGTAAAATCCTCCGAATTCAAACATTCCTGGTCCCAGGCATTTCTGACAAGGGATACTCAAGTAGGGTTCGGAGGGCACAAGACGTATGGGAGTCACCCCATTTATTCACTGAAGTGCTTCCAAGGCACCCACTGAACTCCAGGCCCTGTTCTAGGCAGGGAAGGCATAGCAACAAGCCAAACTGACAGAGGTCCTTTCTAACAGGTGCCTGTACTCTAGAGTGGAGTGACAGGCTCAGACACTCGGCAAGTAGACATATAGCATGTGTGAGGGGCAGCCCTGCAGGACTAGGCGGGGAGGGCAGGTAGAGCCATGAAGGAAGGACCACTAGTGGTGGTGCCTACACAGAGCGTATGGTGGGGGCACCTCTGATGGGGACAGAAGAGCAGAGGCCACAGAAGCGAGGGAGCCAGCCACACGCACAGCTGAGCAGGTGCGTTTCAGGAAGAGGAGAACATGGCAGGTGCCAGCCAAGGCTGGGAGATGGGTCTGCTTGGCGGGTTAGAGGTGCAGCCAGGATCCTGTGAAGCTGGAGAGGCCTGAGGTGGGGGAGTCGGGAGAGGGAGAGCAGACCAGAATCCACGGAACCAGGAGAGGGTTATCAGGACTTTGGCCTTTCATCTGAATGAAAAGACACTGGGAGGTTCTGGACAAAGAAGGGACGTGACCTGACTCGCACTGTAATAGGATCATTGTGATTGCTGCAGGCTGGGGACAGGGCGACCTGTGAGGAGGCTATTTCCATAATGTACAAGCTGGAGGAAGGGGGCCTGGCCAGGGAGGTGGTGGTGAAGGTGAAGATGAGTTTTGGACACATTCTGAAGGAAGAGCCAATCGGATTTGCTGACTAGATGTGGGGGAAAGGGGGGATTCATGATGACTCTAAGGTTTTTTTTTTTTTCCCCTTAAAACAACTAAAGCATAAACCAAATAAAATCCTGATTGAGAAAAACAGGTCTGAGGTGTTTTGTGCTCCTTGCAGCATCTCAGCCTATTTCTGTCTTCTTTTCTGCCACAGGAGTTTGAAGCAGGGTGGGTGGAAAGCAGACTGAACTTCCTCTAATGAGACAAACCGTCAGGCCAAAGGTTCTCAAATGATGCTCCTGCGGAATACTAGAACAAGATTCAACTGAAATTGAAAATTCTCCCTGAGATCACTGAATAAATCTAAAAATAAGGGGAAAATGAAAACACCACCAGGAAATGGGAATGATGTCAATCAACTGGAAGGTGCGAAGGCTTTCTGGAAGATATGAAGCAGACGGGGTGGGGCTGGAGAGGTGGCTCAGTGCGGGAGGAGAGGAATCCTCAGGCCGCATGGGTTTCTTAATGAGGCCCAGAGAGTCCTTAAGCCCAAGCAGCAGGGGCTAGTATCGAGGCAGGAGGTGATGGATTTTTAAGGTGGGAGCTTTGCCAGTTCCCTGCACATGAACTGTCTGGTCATGTGCGGTCGGACACCTTTCCTGGCAGCGAGGATCAGCAATGGCACAACAATCATGGGAAAGCAAAGGCTCAGCACCTCAGCAAGAACCTCCTCCCTACTTCCTACAGCACCTGGAGTCATGAGACAGACTGTCCTAAGGTCAAGACCAAAGAGGCTAGAAAAGTGACAGGCATGGAGCAGTGGAGGACACTGGTGACAGGCAGGCTCTGCCACACTAAGCGGCTTTCTCAGCAACTGCCCTAATGAACTCTTGAGATCTAGATTTCATTATTGGCTCTGCTCTGACTGCTGCTCTGATTCCAGCCTATGCCTGCTCAGGCTGTCCTTCTTTACTGTCCATGGTGGCCCAGGACAAGGCTCACATCTGCCTGACTACAGAGGCACAAAGGCAGACTGCTGGGGCACAGGGGACCTGACGGCACCACTGTGGAGAGACCACGTGGGCTTCTCATCCTGGTTATGCAAACCACCAGCAGCTCATAAACCAGCAGCCTGAGGACATGGAAAAGGGACAAAGCTGGGCATGAAGCGGGCTTGACCGAAAAGAATTAATGTGAAGAAGAGCAGCGATCTTAAACACAGATATGCATTGTGATTCCAGAAAAATAAAAACAAGACTCCAACAATGACTATTGACTCCTTTAACGCACTTTTCTCAGTAGTCCACAGATGAAAGAGTTCAAGATCAGGATTGGTAAGCCATAGCTTGTACCACATGTAACCCACGGTGTGCTTTTGTACAGCTTATCAGCTAAGGAGAGTCTTTACATCATTATGTTTTTAACCAAACCAAACCAAACCAAAGAAGAATGTGTTAGAGACCACATGCTGTCTGTAAGGCCTAAAACATTCACTACAGGAAAAGTTTGCTGACTTCTGAGTGGATGAATACAAATGGGAAATTCATCGAGAGCGCGTGAGAGTATACGCGGTGTGTGTACAGACGACAAACAGAGCAGACACATTATTGTCATGTGCTCGACTGTAACTTCTGGGGGGCTGAGTTTGTCTTTCCCATCCTTCTTGTTTGTCACCACATCCCTGGGACCCAGGTCGGTATCCTCCGCAACACAGCAGGTGTTAGGTAAATATCTGCTGAATGTGTAAATTCGATTTTACGCAGATTAATCAATCTGGGCCACAAAGAAAACCTCAAAATGTAAAAAGAAGACTGTGTAGGCCACAATGTAATCTAACAGAAATCGAGCACAGTTTTCTGTGGATTTTCTCCTGATTTTTTCTTGATTGTCGTGGACTGGTCTTCATGACTTGTTTTTAACTGAAGTCATAGGACCATCTATATCATCCTGCTCATGTAAAAAAGACAGGAGGGGGAAAGCCCAAGTGGCATGTGGCTGTGTTTGTGCAGTGCACTCACAGCATGGGCAAACATTTCCAGAGCACTTATTACGTGACAGGCACCGTCTGAAACCTTCCAGTAACCCTCTGACGCAGGTGTCGTTATTATAAAATTGAAGCACTGAGATG